CAATAAAACATAGACCGATTTGAAGGATAACTTCGTCAAATCCAGAAGTGTTATCTCCGCTAAATAGGGGCAGTGGAACATTTCGCATACGCTACGCTATACCTATAAATATATATATATACGTTAGAGTCTAACGCATACTCTACGCTATACATCTATACTAGAGCGCCAGTTACTGTCGAAATTCGACAGTTTTTCTAGTTTTTAGGAGACTTGGAGAGGTTTCTAACTTAATACGTAGAAAAACCTATACGGTACAAATTAGCTTACCGGAAAATGTTCTGCTTTGGAACTAAAACGTAACTAATTTTTTTTTTTGGAAGGTCTTTGGAGCACTTCGGCAGGGCTTGGAATTGACCCGATACATTCCAGTTTATCGATAAGTTTTAATGATTTGATACATATCGATACTTCGATGAATTTCAAAAACACTAAATTCCGATAACTCAACAAAATTCGTTAACTTGACCAATTTCAATAACTGTGAAATTCGATAAATTTCGATAACACAAAAATGTAAATTCTTTTGATGCCTTTATAAATTTTTACTATTGACAGCGCCACATTTTTCGAAAGCTATCGAAAAATTTTGATAACTCGTTACACTCTGTGAACACGATAAAATTCGTTAAGCAGTGATAAATCGATAAGATTATATAACCTCAAAATTTCGATAAATCGATATATTTTGAAAATTCAATAAACTTCGATTCGATGAATCAACCAATTTCAGTAGATCAATAATTAGCGATAACTCTGTAAGTTGAAAGAACTCCATGCATTACGACAACTCGATAGTCTATAAATAATGATAATTCAATAAATATCGATAACTTGATACATTTCGTTAGCTTGACAAATTTCGATAATCCCACACGTTTTTATAGCTCGATAACTATCCGTAAATTTCGACAACTAAGTTTCTGTGTCTATAAATTTCGACAACTCAATAAACATTGATCAATTTGAATACAGTGAAACCCGCTTAAGTACCTCACGAAAAATGTCAGCTTTTTGAGGTACTTAGGCGGGTTGGGTACTTAAAAGAACCCGCTTAAGTACCTCGATGCGGGTACTTAAGCGAACATAATTATTACATAAATATGTAAATCCTTAAATAACACATAAACATTTAATGAAGTATACTTATTTATTTAGGATTTTTCAATAAAAATACAGTTCAGTCCCTAACAAATACCATGTAAACCTAAGCCTAAGATTTTATAGAACACTTAAAGAAAAAAATTCATCAAAATTTAAAACTTTTTTTCTCAGATTTGTTTTTTGAGTATACAATTTAAAGCCCATTCAATTTTAGTGTAATAATGTGCAAGTTTCAAGTGGCTAAAAATTACCGTTGATTTTTATAATTTTTTTGCCGAAGGTGTGTAACGCTGCCACCGAGATTCAAAATATGTATGTAAACATTTAAAGGAATTTTAAAAGAGCACTTAAAAGGGGAAAATTATAGGTAAAATGGTAAATGGGCTACGAAAAATTGAGGTACTTAGGCGGGTTGGGTAAATAAGCGGGGAGGTACTTAAGAGAGGGATATTCTTCAGATTACATTCAAAAATTCACATTGCCCAAAACGTTGGTAAGCGGGTTTCACTGTAATTCGATACGTCGCGATAACTTAATAAGCATGGGTAAATTTCGATAATTATAAACTTCGATGATTCGATAAATTTCGGTAACTTTTTTGGCTAATTTTATTTCGATTCCTATCGGAAAATTTCAATTCAGTTACCCTAATTCTTATGTATTTCTCATTGCCTCCATTTTCGCCTTTATCTCCATTTTCGTCTCTATCTTCACTTATACCTTCTTTTTTGTCTTCATCGTTATCACTTGTTTATTCATCTTCATGTTTATCTTTATTTCAAAGTTTATTTTCAAATACGAAGTCAGACAACAAGTAGTCGTCGCGAAGAACGGACGTGTTTACCTTTAGCTCGTAGAAACTATATTGGAAACAGTGTCCTGTCTGCAAATCGCTCCAACTGTCCACTTGTCTTGCGCCGGAGGCTGTCATCCTTTGTCGATAAGCCACTTGTGCAGGCGTTCGTTGTGAGATTTTAATTATTCACTAATTGGTTATAGTGAAGTTCTTTAGCAAATTTGCAAAGAAAAGCGCGCCATATTAGTACTAAAAGCCGAATAAAACCACTCAATTTATATTAGGAATAAAAACTAAAGTGCCGAATATTGAAAAAACTGTGTGTAAACAAACAGCGATTGGCATATGACAAATGTCAACGCTGAACTGCATTATCGACCCTGTATGAATCTGTGTTGCCATATGAGAAAAGCTTCAAAGCAATATGCCTACTATTAATACCCCACCACCGGGTGGTGGGCCTGCAGAAGAAATGGTAAAACTACAAATCAAAAATAAAGAATTGCTAAATAAAATAAAAAACTTAGAAAACATGTATTCGTTATTAGCAAACGAAATAGCGTCACTTAGAAGTGAAAACGAAAAACTAAAAACCACCCAAAACATTGCAGAAAACAAAGAAACGAAACAAAACAGAACAAAAATATATGAAACCGACGAGGAAGAACTTGCCAGGGAGACCGACTGGATCCTCAAAAAGAAAAGACCAGCGAAAAAACGAAAGGCCGATTCCTCACCTGAAGTGGCCAATCAAAGCGGATCCTCAGATCCTAGTCTAAAAAAGAAAGCTACGGTTAGTAAGTCAGCTCGGCCTCCTCCAATTGTTATTAATGGTACGAACGACTTCAAAAAATTGCATGCTCAACTAATCGCAACTATAAAGAACAAGTTTTTTGTGAAACTTATAAATAATGGCTCATATAGAGTAATTACCTTTGACTCTCTTGACTACCGCTCTGTTACAAAGCTGCTAACAAACGAAAAGATCCCCTGGTTTAGCTACGAAGACAAACAAACTAGGCCAATAAAAGTTATAGTAAAAAATCTACACCACTCGTGTGACCAAGGAACAATTGTAAGCGATCTGAACAACCAAGGTCTAAAAGCAATTAGTGCAATCAACAAACTTAAATGGAAGACCAAGGAACCACTTGACATGTTTCTTGTGACCTTTGATTCATCCGAAGATGTGAAGAAAGTTTACGAAATAAAAAACATTCTCAACACAATTGTAAAGATTGAACCTATAAAATCGTCTAACTTAATTCCTCAGTGCAAAAAATGTCAATCCTTTGGCCACACCAAAAACTTTTGTGGAAAACCCCCACGATGCGTGAAATGTGCAGGTAAACATCTGACCTCGGAGTGTCAAAAAACAGTAATTGATAAACCCAAATGTTGCAATTGTGGCGAGCCACACCCAGCAAACTATCGCGGTTGCATTATTGCGAAAGAATTGCAAAAGGTTCGATCAAAAAAGTTATCACTAGCGAATAAAGCAAAGGCCAGCGAAAATATTCAACCTGCTGCAAATACACCTCCCACAGTTTTACCACCTGTGGATACAAGAGCAGTCTCCTATGCACAAATAACTAAACAACCTGCTGGATGTGTTGCCTCACAAAGCTCAGATACACTGTCAATGATTTTATCTAAGCTTAATAAACAAGAAGAGGTGTTCAAAGCTCTTAAACTGCGTCTGGACGCCTTGGAACATAATATGCAGTTTTTTGATTATGACTAACCGTCTTAAACTCATCTTATGGAATGCAAACGGTTTATCCAAGCACAAAAACGAGCTAGAAGTGCTACTCCATAATGAAAATATTGACATTGCTCTAATCGCTGAAACTCACTTCACGAAACAATCGTATTTGAATTTTAAAAACTATGCCTTGTACCATACTATACATCCTGACAATTGCGCAAGGGGTGGCAGCGCTGTGTTAATAAAAAATACAATAAAACATCACTTAGATGAAGAAATTTGCACAAAGGAATTTCAAGTCACATCCGTTTCCGTTGAAACTTTTAAACAGCCAATGTCATTAGTAGCTTTGTACAGCCCACCTAGATACCAGCTGAAATCAGAAGACTACTTAGCTCTTTTAAATCGGTGGAAAGGTCGTTTTATAATTGGAGGCGATTTCAACGCAAAACATACAAAATGGGGCTCAAGGCTGACCACGACAAAAGGACGAGAATTGCTTAAAGCTATGCAGCGCGCAGGTTGTAATTCAATTTCAACTGGTAAACCGACATATTGGCCGTCGGATACTAATAAAATTCCAGATTTGATAGATTTTTTCGTCTACAAAAATATACCTACAGCTCATTTATCTGTCACTGAAGGTTTTGACCTGAGCTCCGACCATTCGCTGGTGCAACTGGTAATTTCGCAAGATGCAGCACAAAATCAAAGAGGAACAAGGTTGACGAATGTTTTCACCGACTGGAAATATTTTCAACTACAGCTAGAACAACTAATCGAATACAACCACATCACTACTAGCGAGCAGCTGGAAGACGCTGTACTTCATTTCACCCAACAAATTCAGTTGGCGGCGTGGAATAGTACACCCACACCAAAATCAGCTCCTCATGGAAAAAGATACCCACCCTTTATAAGGAACTTAGTGACAAAAAAACGGAAATTACGAAAACGCTGGCAGCAAACCAGATCTCCAGAAATTAAATCGAAACTGAACTTAGCAACTAAACAGCTACACACAACTATCAAGACATTTAAAAACGATGCATTTAATCGGTTCCTGATTGGTCTCACGGCTGATAAAAGCACGGAATACTCCTTGTGGAAGGCGGCTAAAAATTTCAATAGACCAATGCAACACATTGCTCCCGTTAAAATCAATGAAAGGCAGTGGGCCAAAACATGTGAGCAAAAAGCGACACTGTTTGCTGAGCATCTTGAAAAGACCTTTAGCCCTAATGATGGCTTGAATGAAATAGAAGCAACTGGATGCTGGTCTGAATGCGATATCCATTTTAGTCCATTTACACCGGAAGAAGTTGGCATACAGATTAACAAAATGAAATTAAAAAAGGCTCCTGGATTTGACTTAATAACGGCTGAAGTTCTTCGCAAATTACCAACAAAATGCATAGTTTATTTGACCAGCTTGCTAAATAAGTGCTTTAGCTTGAAGCATGTACCTATATATTGGAAATTCGCGCAAGTTACTATGGTACCCAAGCCTGGCAAACCACCCAACGAAGTGTCCTCATATAGGCCTATATCCCTACTACCAGCAATGTCGAAGCTATTCGAAAAGCTGCTTTTAGCTCGGCTAATGCCAATTATTGAGAACAAGAAATTGATTCCCGTTCACCAATTCGGTTTCAGGAAAAATCACTCAACGATTGACCAAATACACAGAGTTGTAAGCACTATTGAAAAGGCTATGGACGAGAAGAAAGTGTGTTCCGCAGTTTTCCTTGATGTATCGCAAGCATTCGATAAGGTTTGGCACGTAGGGCTACTTCAAAAGCTTAAGTCCATGCTACCAATACATTACTGCAAGATGCTTTCGTCATATCTCAATGACAGGTACTTTTGCGTAAAATACGAAAATGCCTTTTCATCTCTAAAGAAGATAAGCGCTGGCGTACCACAGGGGAGCATCTTGGGACCTCTACTATATCTCCTGTACACATGCGACCTACCATCGGCCAATCAGTATGTAACCGCAACATTTGCAGATGATACTGCGCTACTTTCAGTCGATAACACTATCGAAAATGCTACGACCAAGCTACAAGAAGCTGTTAACCAAGTTACCTCGTGGGCTAAGAAATGGAGGATTAACCTAAATAAAAGCAAATCAGCGCACATAGTGTTCTCTTTAAAAAAAACATCACATAAACCAATTTTTATTGACGGGTCAATAATCCCATACTTCGACGAAGCCAAATACCTGGGTATTACACTCGACGCCAAATTGCGCTGGAAAGCTCACGTCAAGAAAAAACGAGATGAGCTTGATCTGAAATTTAACAAACTATATTACCTCATTGGTAGGCGCTCAAGGTTGACAATTCACAACAAAATTCTCGTATACAAACAAATTCTAAGGCCAGTCTGGACTTACGGCATACAATTCTGGGGATGTGCTAGTGTGAACTGCATTACTTCCATCCAACGTCTGCAAAATAAAGTGCTTCGAGGCATAGTAAATGCGCCATTCTACGTAAGAAACAGCGATCTACATCGTGATCTTGGCATGCCAACTGTCACTGAAATGACGAAACAATTCGCCATAGCTCACAAACAGCGATTAGTAGGTCACGTCAACGTAGCAGCGTCCAGCTTACTTCGGCTGAATCCTACGCAAAGACGGCTAAAGCGCACAACAGTAGCAGACCTTATGCAAAGCGAGTAGCAGAAATTTATTTTTACTTATATGTCTTTTGAGCATGTATTTAAAATATAAAATGCTTTTTCTTGTAAACTAAAATTATTAAATTAAAATTGCTTGTTAGTATCATTATTTATATACTAGTTGCAATAATAAGACGTTTCTGTAAATTGTCTAAGATTCGTTAACAATAATAAAAAAAAAAAAAAAAAAAAAAAAAAAAAAAAAAAAAAAAAAAA